CGAGGTGACGGCCCCAGCGGCGAAGCGAGCGCGCTGCGCACACACTACGCCTCTTAAAGGCTCCGCGAGAGGTTGAGGATGGAGCCTAAGACTTAGTCTCTCGCAACTTGGCGTTGCCACTAAATGCGCCGCTCGCGCTCCACCCGGGACTCTCGGCGCATTATTATAGAGCCAACGACGCCAAAGACAGATAGCGCTTCCCTCTTCTTTGTAGAGGGGTACGCAGCGAAGGTGGCAAGGTGCCGGAATCTGAGCTTGCAAAAGAAAGATTTGGCTAATTCTTTGCTTAATGAACTCTCATCACTTGCTCTGTTTGGTAGCTCCTTTTTGTTTGTTTGTCTTATAGGAAAAGAAGCCGTTCAATATCTGCCTTTTTCTTTGGAGGGTTAATATTTTATAGATTTGCGTCCTGACATTTTAATTGCTCAAATGAAGCATCTCGGATGCAGGGAAGCACAAGGAGACTTCACTTCATTGTCATGACGCAATTAAAATAAATTCCCCTCAACTTTATCCTGTCTTATTGGTTTTAGCTAACTGGCCAGCCAGTGACCTGTCACACACCCGGTCATGAAAAGAGGGAGAAAGACCTTTCTGTCTGCTGATGGACAGGCGGAGGCAGCCGCTTAGCCTCGCCTGTGCACAGCTTCTGTACACACATGTAAACGCACATGTATCAGATGCACATTTGTCAATGTATACAGACAAAGACGTCCAAAACGGTGCTTCTAGGTCATAGAAGAGTTGAATACGGACTTCATTATTCAAATTCTCTTTAAACATCCATATAGTCATTAAAACACCCAGAGAGCCTGCTCCAAATTGGAAATAATGCCAGCATAACTCACAAGAAACACAAACAAGCCATAGTCTTCATCCCACAGTCTATGTCATTCTACCCCGGATGCTCAATCCTCTGTCATTGAATGGGTGCCTGCGTTTTAAACATCAAATATATAGAACCAGCCCCAGGACAAATTATATTCCACTGACTAAGCTTGCTGTTTGATTAGGACCAGTTAGTTGATTATGAGCACTCCACACTTGTATGGGAAATTTGTGTTTAATAGGGAATACTTTGCACCAAGCCAAAACTAAAACCATACGTTAAGCAGGTTTACCAACAATGAAATTATTTTCATACAAAAGATGCTGAGCTACTGGGTGGAGGGGGATGGAGGACCCTACAAAGAGCAAATTGACAACTTCTGAAAAGCATCTTTGACAGCATAAAATTTGGCAATATAAAGTTACTTTAATAAAATAAACCGGATGTGTAATTGACATGGGTAGACTGCACTTTTGGGCAGTTTCTTTTACACATACAGGCAGAGTGTGAGATGAAGAGCACATGAAGATGTGGGCAGACAGAAGCTGGCTTTTCGGCAAGGAAAAAATCCTATTTTTTTAAGTCCTCCTTAGCCTTCTCTTTCTCTACTGAAATAATATATTGCACTAAAGTGGCAGGTGCTGTTATTATTTGAATGTTTTACGAAATAACAAGCTATAGCAGGTATTAGACTATCATAAACCTGGTGTGTTAAATAAGGTGGCCACAGAGTAAAACTAGACTGAGCGTTGCTGGCTGACTAGAGATACCACATAACTTTCTCCTACAGAGAACAAGAAAGGAAGATGGAAAATGAATCATTTCAGAGAAGTCTGGTTTTTTTCTTTTAATTTCTCTGATTTGAGGAATTATTTGATGCTGCAAATGTCAGATTATAGAGGGCAACTCAGCATATAGTGAGACTGAGGTTGACACAGGAAATCTAATAGGTATTCCCATCTCGACTTAATAGATGAGCATAATTGATTACGGAGAAATGTTAATCTTGCCTCTCCAAGTGCAGCCATTTTCATGGCAAGATTACTTTTTGCTCACACACAGAGATGGTTTTTGAGAAGGAGAAGCTACACACACACACACACACACACACACACACACACACACAGAATTTGAAGGCTGTAATTTCTTTAGGTAGAAAAATCAAGAATTTCCCACTTACAGAACTGCAGCCAGCTAGACACATGGCCACACAGCTACCATCAAGTTAGGGCTTCTTCACTTTGTATTTGAGGGCTCTTTTAGCTACAGAAATGATGTTTTAAAAGGGGAAAAAAATGCTATGTGAATTGTAGTTAATTTTACTGAGTGGATGGAGAATCAGGACAGCCAGACTGAGGGGTTATAAAAAAAAGCAAAAATATTTTAAATACCCATTTCAAAGATGCTCAGTTGTCTTAACTCTGAGATTTAAAAGTCCTGATTACAAGATACATATCTACATATTATTTTTAAAAACTCAACCAAGCCTTTTACTGCAAATGTAAATTTATTTTAATGGGAATTGTGGCAAGCTTTATTTGACTGGTCAAAGTTAGGGGAAAACATTTGTCTTAATCTACAAAAAAAAAAAAAAAATTCCCCAACTCCCAGGAATATGGTTCCTTGCAGAAAGTGGTTGACTGGTCTGTAATTCTTTACAGATTAAATCACAATATGAATACAGACCCCAGCAATGCCGAGTTTAACTCTGAGCTCAGTAGAATCCAGAATCCATTGAATTTCTCCTTTCCCTCAATCTAGTCGTGTGTGTTTTTCTCTTCCACCACACTGGAGCTCCGTGAATAGGGAAGGGGCTTCCATTGTGTCCCTCTGAACTTCCAAGTCAATGCAATTTTTAACCACTGGCTTGTGGTACTTTGAAAATCACCAGGGGCTGTCAGAGTTGGGTCCTCTGAAAAATTTACAGTGCTAAATCAGAGCATATGCTGGGAGGGAAAAAAAAATTGCTTAAGATTGGAGCAAGTACAGTATCTGTCTGCCCCCTAGTGTAAGAGTCCTCGCTGCCTAAAATCCAACTTTAAAAGAAAAGGAGCCCTTAAAGGGAAACGACTTGGGGCTCACGTAGGCATAGGAGAATGAAACTTCTGTACATTTTAATCTGAATAATTCTTCAGGATTTAAAATTATTTGGCTGTGGCTTGGTTGGACTGCACTGGGATCTCGCTGCCTCTACGTTTCTCTCTTACTGGTGAAGAGGTGATTTTTTTTTTTTTTTGAACTGGGTTTATGTGCGTCCCCCTCACCCCTCCTCTCTTTTTCTTTCTGCCTCTGTCGTCTCTCTCGCTGGCTTTTTAAAAATGAGGAACCGTTCCATGACCATTTTGCACACAGCACAGAATTGCTTCTAAAGTCAGCCCTGCGCGGTTGCAATAGACAGCAAAAAGGTAAACCGTTTGCCTGAAATCCGCACGCCAGCTCCACCACCCCGCCCGATGGTGAGTACCCTTCTCCTTGCGATTCTCCTAGCTTAGTAGAGCGCTCGCCTTCAGGAACCGCAACCGAGGGCGCCGGGCAAGGGCTTTGGTCTCAGCCCGCCCGCCCGTCCGCCCGCCCGCCCGCCTGCCTGTCAGCTGCACAAGGTTGCAAAATGAAGCGCAGAGGCAGATCGAACAGGAAATTCTGATACCTAAAGCCAGCATAGCAGCCTCTTTGCTAACAAACCCAGTCATCTGCTGCTTGGACAACCAGGCTTTAAGGACTGGTTTTCGGTCAGTTCTATGGAAGGAAATGAGTTTGAGAAGACAGGATGAGGAGATGGGAGGCAACCGCAGTCTTTATGCTTCGGTTTAATCATATTTTGGCAGCTTTGCAATTGTATCCCCCCCCCACCTCTGCTACCACACACATGTAATAAAATATGGCAACGCACTGAATTGACTGCCCCCCCACCCCTCCAACCACAGTCCCAGGCAATGCATACACGTTAGCAAAACGATTTTCTGAAAAGCCCCAAGTCATCCCCAACCCACATAGCACAAGGAGAAAAGTGAGAAAGAAGAGAAAGAGAAAAATAAATACAGTAAGCAAACATACCAAAACCATATTTGCCTTGTTCAAGGTCCCAAACCGCTTGCATCTTCCTTCTAAACTGGAATAACTCTCCTTTAGTTTGGCGGGTGAAATAAACGCTTTGTTGGCCCCCTGAAAAGATGTGTCTTTGATAATTAAAGAGACTCTCCTCCTCGGTGTTTATCTAAGCGATTGTGCAAACTGATAAAAAAGTAGGCATTAGTCTGCAGGGAAAAAGAGGAAAGGTGAAGGGAGAGATCTTCCACCTCAAGGAAGTGCTTCCCTGTGTACCAGGCGCTCTCAGCCCTTGGAAAAGCCTGCACACTAACTTTAGAGAGAGACGCGGCTTCAGGGAGCTTTGTACATAGCTGCTGAGGAATGCAAGCCTCGCCTTTAAGAAAAAAAACCCCAGACCGTAGGTAGGAGATGTCTGGAGTGATCCTTGTCTCTCATCTGATGCCTTAGAAGGAAGAGTGCGTTGTTACACCTTGTTTGGGGCTGGAAAGAGGAGACTTTAAAAACACCCTTCCAATTGAAAGAAAAAAAAAAATCTCCCAACTTAATGAGTTTAGTCGGAGGCTGGAGCAAACGGCTCAGTCTTAGCAGAAAACCACAAACAACTATAGGCAATATTGCAAGGCAAGAAAACCGGAGGCACAGCCAAATTCCACTGTTTGGGGTCGAGAGGGATGGAGGATAATCCTAAAGCAAGTTTGAAAAAAAAAAAAAAAAACCAAAACCCCCCAGAGGGGGGAGAGGAGGGGGAAGGCTGCAGCCGAGTAGACTGGCAGACAGGGTCCACTCACCCTGGATCAAAGATAGAACTTGAAACAGGAGGCCAACATTTTTTCCTAGGAATCAGTTGGAATCCTCATTTTCTACTTTTAACTCAAGTCGCCCCCACCCAAATGATTTCTCTCTCTCTCTCTCCCCTGTGGATTAGTGCCTCCCTCCCCTTTCTACTGTCCATTCTAGAACTTTCCTGAAGAGGAAATCTATTTCTTTTGGGGGGAGGGGTTCCCCATTTCATGCCTTCAAATAATGAATACTTAATTCATCCCCTCCCTTTATCAATTCCCCCAAACGAATAAAGAAAGCAGAGATACAATAACTAGCAAAAATTGAGCCTAGACTGAGCTGCTTCTTGCAGTTTAGAACAGTCTTAACTAATGGATTTTATTGTTGTTGTTGTTGTTGTTTTGTTTTAAGAGAAGAATAATGGGGAAACATGAATCTTTTATTTTAGGAAACTGTTATGGTAAGATGAATGTCAGACTTGACAAATGGAACTAACGCTCTTCACTGCTTCTTGTCCTTGTCTTAAACAGGAATTAAGTTAAACACAGTGCTGAATGTTAATTACATGTTTACTGGCTAATGAAAATTACAAATGGTTTTGCCACCTCAAACAATGATGAAAACTCTGAAGACACTGTAATTATATACTTTGAGGGAAATAACTCAGAATATTGATCATAAGAAGTGTAAATCTTTTTTTAACTATTCATTAATACCATAAATATGGGCTACAGAAGTTTTTCCTTGCGGTTTGTCTCATCAGTTACACTGAGTGGATGGCTGATGGGACTCCTCCCGAGAGGAGGTGAACTCTGTCTCTCAGAAGGAGGCCACGTGTGACTCAGGAGTGCCCCCTCCCTTCCGCCCCGCCCCCTTCATCCTAGCTGAAGGTCCAGTGGTCTCCAACAGGGAGGCCTGGCTCAGGGCAGGTGAAGGTGATCTCAGTTCGGCCTCTCTCCTCCCCTTCTCTGGCTCTTTTCTCTCCTTCCCCCCCCCCCCACCCCTCTTCTTTTCATGCCAGGTCTGATAGATGACCACCTTGCCCAGTCTGGGCGCCTGGGATAACCTAATGAAAGACCAATTAGACCTGGCAACTCATCGCTACCAAGAGATGCAGTCCTGACCACTTCAGCTCCCTCTCTCAGAGGTGGCTAGGGTAGTTCAATGCTAGAGAAGAAGGGAGAAAGATTAGGGTTGGAGGTGGCTATTGGGGAAGGTGGCTCAAGCGCTGAACCAGAACTGGGTTTTGCAGTAATTACTTTGTGGTCGTTTTCTTTCAACTTTAGCCAAATTTAGAACACTGGCAGCCACTTCAATCTTGAGGGTCAAAGGTGAGAGGTGCACTACCCCTAAGCCTGAACACCAATCCGGCAATGGCATGGGGGTGGTGGTGGTGAAACTGCAGGGCTCTTGGTGTATATGTGTGTGTGTGTGGGGGGGGGGGTTGTGGAAACACACATCCAGCACCAAGTGCAGGTTAAAATGAAATATTGAAGGTTTTGAAAGAGGTGTTCAAGGTTTGTGGGACTGGAGTCCTCCTTTTCCCTGAGAATTCCCAAGGCTCTGGTCTTTGTCTTAGAAGGAATGGAGTTTCTGAATGGTGTGAAAGGGACAGAGAGGGTCGCTTCCAATCGATTTTACTTGTCCTTCCTGCCTTTTCGGATCAACGCCCTTCAATGGACACAGAGGTGCTCTTTCAACCAAAAACTTGTGCTACATTTTCTGCCTGTATTGGTGCTAAATACAATAAGCATCGGGCAGATTTTCTTCCCTTTGCTCTCCAAAGCTTAAAAAAAAAGAACACCCTAATTAAATTGTTTTATATGGACAGTCAAGACGGACCAATTAAGTATGCATTAGTATAAAGATAGACTCTGCAGATATGGCGTTTTAGAAAGCCATGGTTATGACAAAGGCGAGGGCATTAGGGTGTGGAGAGGGGGTGCATAGACAGAGCCGGGTTGCACCTTCTTCTCAGGGCTCTAGGGGATTTGCAAAGGCCCAGGCCTCAGGTGAGAGGAAATCAGTCCAATTAACAACAGGTGGGTGGGTGGGTGGTGGCCGAAGACTTGCAGACCCGAAACCCCAAGTCTAAGGGCAAAGGAGGGGTAGCTGGATATTCCTCACAGTCTACAGCTCCCACAATTTAGCAGTCCCAGGTGGCAGGACAAGATGAGGCCCTGCAGTGCTCACTCTGCATCAGACCCACTTCCTGGGGTCCCCGGGTCAAGGTGACCCTATATAATCATGAAGTTGTGTGAGCCCGGAGTAGGCGCTGACACCTTAGCCACCTGGACCACAGCCCTCTGGCTGCCAAGGGGGGGAGGGGGTGTCTCTCAACACTTCACAGCTAAGCGCGTTTTATTTATTTATTTATTTATTTATTTATTTATTTATTTATTTTTTATTCACTATGCTCCTATGGAAAGAGATGTCTGGTAGTGAAGAAAGTAAAGTTCCCACCAGAAGACCTGCGCGGTCCGATTGGGGACAAAGACAAGATGTTGGAGGAGCGGAAAGGCCAAGGGTCGCAGAAAGGGTGGCGGGGAAGCAGGTCCCTAAAACGCAGCTGTAGTTCAGAGCTCCTCCACCTCTTTTCTACCCTAGGAGGCAAGGGCGGGCGAAGAGCATAGTGTCCCGAAGGGGACGACCCTCAAAGCAGGGGCTGGGGCCTCCCTGAGTGGCTACGCAGGACTCTGATAGGTGGTCCTAGGCCACGGGGACACTAGCGTGTCTCACGTCTCCGCAAGGGCTCTCGGGGTGCACAGAGCGCCCTTGGGAGGGAGGGGGAGTGGAGGAGACAGTGGCAGCCTGGGGGAAGTGGCTGAATGTCAAAAGTAAAAAGGTTGAAAAGGCAATTTTCCAGTCGCGCTTTGCCCCCCACTTCTCTCCTCCTTGGGCCTCCCGCCCGGGCAGTAAATCTGCGGCCGGTGGCCAGGACACCAGGAGTCCCCTCGGCGGCGGGGCGACGGGGGCCCGCCCGCAGAGCGCACACCTCCCGGTGGGCCCCGCATCGATCCGAAGCCTAGCTGAGGATGTCACCGCACTAAATATTTACTGATCACACACGAATAGCCAGGGCTCGAACGATTTTCCTCTGTGAGGAGAGCGCAGAGAGCAGGGTAAATCATTTTATTAGTGTGGATAAAGCCCAGAGCACACTCCGGGCTGGAGTGTTTTAAGATGTGTCTTCAACGGGATGAAAAGAGTTAGGGAAATCGATACGGAGTGATTAGAAGCCCCCGGGGTGACGAAGGGGGACCTGACTTGCGGGGATTTGGCGGGGCGGAGAGGGAGGAAGCCAGCCCCGAGGGGAATGGCGGGACTACCGCCTAGGAGCTCCAGCGCAGGCCTTGGTCCCTCTGTCCTCGACGGGAAAGGTGACTGCGTAGCTAACGATAAGGGTCTGCCGCTTGACTTCTCAGATAGGAATGAACAGGTCTTGGGAGCCACCGGCTCTATACCAGGAGTGGCAGTGGCCAGGTGGCCACCGGAGTTGATGGCTCGTGTGTAGCAGGAACCATGGACACGTTTCCCCACACGCTGTGTCTCTAGGCAGCCTGAGTAGCCAAGACGTGGCCCCAATGGATTTTATTCGGGACACCTTTTTGGTGCCGCTCTAAGCTTCCCCAACTTTCTCCTTGATCAACCTCCATCTTTCTTCTTATTTAGAATCCCAAATGGGGACCCAGTAGCCCAGCCCCACCGACTGATTTCCTTGCTACTGGCCCAATGGCCAGGATGGCTACCGGGTGGCGAGTCTCCGTCCCCCCCTCCCCTCCCGCCAGCAAGGAATCTGAAAAACCAGTGGATTCCAGGTTCGCAGCTCGGCCTCCTGGGCAGGTGAGATGGAGTGTAAGGTGAGGATTATGGCAGGAGCTCCAATGGAAACCACAGGACTGTGGATTCCTCCTCTGGGTCACAGGAAAATCAGCTTCCGCAGGATCAGGCCCCACTCCAGCCGCTGGGACCTGTCTGGGATCCCAAGATTGGATGCTGGGAGCTAAACTGGCCGAGGCATAAAGTCTTGCGGTTCACGTGGCGTTCGGAAAAACTTACTGGAAGGGAGTAGAAACCCCTTCTCCGCAAAGCCCAGCAGCTATGTTCTGGCTCGAAAATGGATTTTCTTTCCTTGATGAGCAAGTCTCGCTACTGTGAACAAACCTAGACCTTCTAGACAGCTGTAAACAACCTAGAAGGCGCTAATTTCTGGAGGTGGAGGGTTAGGGCAGAAGGTGAGTAAAGAGAACAATTCTTTGTTGTTTTTTCCTGCTTCTGATCTTTTCATCAAAGAGCAAAAAATTCTTTCACAAGAAACGGATAGTTGCCTACTGTGTATATGCGTGTATACATGTTTTCATGTGCATATATGTGTAGAAAGATGTTCCTTCCCATTGCTTGATGTTCTTAGCATTTTGGAGTATCCAGCTCAGGCTACCCTGCGTGTGCTTCGGTGCAACAGGAAACATAGCTAAAGACCCAATTCACCATTTTCCAGAAGGGAGACTTAAAAATAAAACAACATAAGAGAATCCCAGTGGATTAGAATGGTGTGTTCAGGTGTGAGGCAATCAGCCTCCTGCTCCTCTCTTGGTAATCCGATTCCTGCCTTGGAAGCTACTAGCCGGCTGACCTAGGGGAGAGTCAGCTTGGTCTCCATTAACCCTTATTGGTCTTGGCTACAGAATGAAGGTTAACTACACAATGTATCTAAAGATTGATTTTAAAAGGGATTTAAGGAAGGGCATAAGGAAAGAAAAAAGGAAGAGAGGGAAGGAGGGAGGGAAAGAGTGGAAGTGAGAACACTCTACGAA